GCAACGCACGATCCAGCGGAGGGACGAGGGAGGGAAAGGAGGGAAGCGAGACGAAGGGAGACCACAAACGCTTTCGCCGAGCGCTGCTCTTGAAGACCACGACCGCCGGCAGAGCATCTGTCATGCGAGCGTGGGCGAAACCAGGGCCGGACATTCGGGCGCTTATACGCCGGTGCAGCACACGATTCGGAGGAGGATGACGAGGAGAAGGAGGAGGCGGAGGAGGGGGCGGAGGAGGAAGAGGAAGAGGAGGAGGAGGCGGAGGAGGGAGAGGCTTCATGGCTTTATGTCGCTTGGAAAGGAATCCCTCGCGCCTCGCGCCCTGCCACCCATCGCGCCCCATCGCCGATGCATCGGCGATGCATCGGCGATGCACCTGCGATGCATCATCGACGTGCCTTGTGCACGTTGAGGCGTGGAAGATTGCCAAGGACTGTCTGGTGAGGCGTCTGTATTCTAATTCGTGACACCCCTTTCCTGCCCGCACTTCCTGCATGCACCGTCTCCCCTTCCCAAGGCAGCTAAATTCGTTAATCAAACAGTCGGAGCCGCCTTGTCCGCTCCAGTTCTGAATCGGTTGTTCACTGAACAGGGAAAGCCCCGAAAGGCGGGACGAGGGACGAGGGAGGAGGAGGAGGAGGAGGAGGGAGGCGGAGTAGGACGATTCACAAGGTGAAGGTCCACCTCACTGTGTTTTCTCCTGCCCAGGCCGCCTGGCTTACAACGGGGAATTCTCATGCTGACAGGCTTGCTAATCTTGGTGCTCGGCGTCATCCTGTTGGAGGCAATGGAACGACTGAACAGATCGCGCACTGTAGTAGAGCACATTGGCAAATACATTGGATTTGTCATGTCTCGTATTTTACCGCGCCTCAATGAGATCCCGCGCCCTTCCCGGGTCGTCCTCCCTCCCTCTCTGCACCCTTCCGCAGTTGTTGTGATGGCGCCTACGGGAGTTCCACATGAGTTGGCTTGGGGTCCCTCTGTTCAGCGCTTTAGGTGCATAGCCTGCTGGGCCTCCAGTCATTGCAAGTTCGAACTGTATAGAGCCCCTTGTCCAGCTCCCCACGGATTCGGCAAACAGTTATGCGTACTGGTAAGTATGTATATTGTTATTGATGTGGTTCGTATTCATCCACGAACGTTGGACTCCTGCACAGACTGTGTAACAGGCGCCCAGAATCTACCACTGCCAGGCACAGGCTTGGTAGTTTGATGCAGGGACTGGACCCCAAGAGTAAAAAGTCCACTGGTCCTGTGTTGCCAGCAATGACGCTGCTATACAATGAGCTGGGGGACCCAACTGTGGTGTCTTCTGGTGTGCTGTGGAGCGTGCGCTCCCTCAAGTTTTGTGCAAACTTGGCAGTTGTTGTTGCCAACTCTATGCAGCAGTGTTGCGTAGCCGCAGCATGTCGTACTACTGTGCGCTGTTAAACGCTGGACAATTGAACTCCGCATGCTTGTAATGTTGCGTACTCGTCTCTGGCATCAGCCGTTGGTCATTCATCCCCTGTTTTGGGGCCTGTCTTTGGGTGAGCGTCTCGCATGAAGTGCGGTCACCCCCTCTTATTCTGACCAGTTTCCTTGTTCTTGGACCTGCCTGCTCGGAGGCAGGCCACCGTCCTAGTCCTAGTCCTAGTCCTTGTCCTAGTGGGGGGAGGCGGGGGAGGGACGAGGGAGGAGGGACGAGGGAGGGAAAAGGAGAGGGAGGATGGGATTAAGGAAACTTCCGCCGAACGCCCTACCGGCGCCAGTCCGCACGAGAGCGCTGGCGTGCGCGGCCGGGAGCCCGATCTGGCGAGCAGGCTGCCCTCGGCTCCGCCGAACAAGATTCCCAGAGAGCTGTTTTGAACAGTGCTCCGGCGTCCGCTGCTTCGACCGTGCTGTGGCGGACCACCAAGTACAAAGTTCCCTGAGATCTTACGCTCCAAACCAATTTGAACAGGCGGTTTTTGACAGTTTTCGGCCTCCGGGGGCCCTCGCTGGGCCTCGGGAGCGTCAAGAAACTACTCAGGACGAAACACTTGTTCCGTGGAAGTGGTCCAGATCTCCGGGGCCCACGCATCGTAAAAATTGGAGCAGCCAGATGTCTGGGCATGCGCGGTAGAGCGCGTAGCGGCACACGGTCCGAAGAGCGCCTAGTTTTTGGCGCGCGCACGCCGCCCCAGCTCGCGCAGAGCTCGTGGCAGCGCACAGGCACTGGGAGACAACCGGCCGCGAAAGACTACAGCGCTCCTCGCTCCACAGGTAGTTGCTACAGTGGGCGTAGTGCTTGGTGCTGTCCACGCCGCGAGAACAGCCGAAGGAGCGACGGCTGGCCTGCTGGGGGCGCCGCGCGGTGACCCAACCATTGAAGGCGGCGCGCACGGCCGCGGCCATGACGCACGGAGGCACGAAAAGACTCATCGCCTCCATGTGCGACCGAACTCGCTGAACCCGCGCCCCTTGAACCACGGCAATGTCCCAGTGGTCCAGGCGACGGCGCATGATTGAAACAACTGGGGCTTGCGGGCGGCCAGCCATGAGGACTTTGTGGCGCGCGGCCTGCCACGTTGCCCCCATCTGCTGCCAGGCGTCCCGCGTCGCCGCCCGCGTGCAGGGGAGATTCTGTGTCATGTCACCTCGAGATCGTGCCCTCTTCCCTCTGCGGCCCCGAGGTCGAAGAGCGTGTTCGATTCGAGCCACCGCTCGACGGGCGCTGGCACACACTCGCGAAGAATGCGCTGCATGCGATGCCGAACTTGTCGCGCCCGCCGCCGCACCTGCAAACCGCCCTGTTGGGCGTCCTCGTAGTGGCAGACCCGAGCCTGGGCGGCGATCGTCGCGCACCAGATGCCCAATAGCTTGCAGGGGGAGCCGAGAGGTCTGAGCTGAGTCAGAACTCGGCACTCGCCCATGCACTGGGGCCAGGAAGCAGCTCGGCGCATGCTCTGGTCTCTGCTGCAGCCGATGTAGATGGCAAAGCGCGGAGCCGCGCCACGAACATGACGACAGACGCAAGGAACACCCGGAAAGCCTCGCACGTGTGAAACACTCTAGGGCCAAGGGCCCCCCAGAGCTGCGCGCAGTCCATCATGTTGGCAAGCGGGTCCACCCAGGAAGCGTCTCCTGCGCCTGGGCCCAGGATCAATTTCAAATACTCCAACCTGTCCTTGATGGACCTGGTCCCCCACTCCGCGGCCTCTCGGGCGATGTCAGCCCGCAGCGCGAATTCCTCGTGGGCGAACAGTGGGGCGAACACCGTCTTCCGGAAGTTCAGCCGCAAGCCCGAAAACAGCGCACAACGTCGAAGAGGTGTTGGAGCGTCGGCAGCTGGGCGAAAGCGCGCTCAACGAGGATGACCAGGTCGTCTGCGCAAGCCTGGAAGAGCGCCGCTGGCAGGAGGCGCTCTGGGTCGAAACCAACTAATCTACTTATGTGTGCACACTCTTCCAGAACATGATTGCCCAGGCTGATACTTGTCACAGGTTTGTCTGGGGATGTTGCTGTAAGGACTTCAGGGCTTCAGGGTTCAAGGGCCTAAGAGCTGAGAGGTTGAAGGGCTTGAGGGTTTACGGACTTAACCGTTTAAATGGTTGAAGGATTTAAAAGGCTTGAGGGCTAAGGGTTGACTTGCAGGTTGAAGTGTCGCAGGGCTCAATGACTTGCGTGTAAGACTTTAACGGTTCGGAGGGTTCAAGGGTTGAGGACTTAAGAGCTTCAGGGTCGAAGGACTCAAGGATTTGAGGCCTTAAGGGGTCGCGGGCGTAAAGGCTTAAGGGTTTGAGGGCTTACGGACTCAAGGACTGAGCGGCTGAGGGCTGAATTGGTTAAGGGGTAAAGCGTTAAAGGGCTTGCGGGCTTAAGCAGTTCGTTGACCAGAGGGCACACGGACTTGAGGAAGCAAGGGCTTCGCTGCTCAAAGGGCTCAAGGGCTCAAGAATTCGAGTGCTTAAGGGCTTAAGTGGCCTACGGGTGCAAGGGTGCAAGGGCTTCAGGGTTTGAAGGGTTTAGAGGTTCAACGCTTACGGGCTTCAGGAGAAAGAGCTGGCGAGCGAGGGGAGGGAATGAGAGGATGGGGAGAAGTTGGAGAAGGAGGAGGAGGAGGAGGGGGATGAGGGGGGAAAAGAGGAGGAGGAGGAGGAGGGGAAGGAGCCGGAGGCGCCTTTAAGGCGCCTGCAAGACGCCTGCGGGGCTTCAAGACGCCTGCAGCACGACGCCTTTATGACGCCTGCGGGGCTTCTCATGGAGGCTGGTTGGAATTAGTACCAAAAGTGATTGGAATTAGTACGAAGATGGTTGGAGTCTGTTCTAGCTCGGGGGGTGGGGTCGATGCGCGCCGTCGTCGCCGTCGTCGCCGTCGCGCCGTCGCCGTCGTCGCCACCGCCACCGCCGTCGCGTCGGCGTCGGCGTCGACGTCGACGTCGGCGTCGCAGTCGCTGTCGCCGTCGCCGTCGCCGTCGCCGTCGCCGTCGCCGTCGCCGTCGCCGTCGCTATCGCCGTCGCCGTCGCCGTCGTCGTCGTCGTCGCCGCCGTCGCCGCCGCCGCCGCCGTCGTCGTCGTCGTCGTCGTTGTCGTCGTCGTCGCGGCCCGACAGCGCCAGCGTCGTCGTCGGCGCCGGCGCTCGCCGTCGTCGGTTGCAGGGGGAGGCCCCCCTCGTCGTCGTTGCCCAACGGCGCTGGCGCTGGCGCCGGAGCTCGCCCTCGTCGGTTGGAGAGAAGTGTCGATCCACGCTCCCGAGGTCACGATCCTGCGTGATGGTGCAGAAGCTGTGGATCCGCGCTCCCGAGGCCACTATCCCTTGCAGAAAAAATGGATTCGCACTCCCGGGACCACGACTCCTCGCACGTCAACCGTGGATTCGTACTTCCGAGGCCCACGCAAGCAATCAGAGGAGAGGGGCAGGCGGAAGAAGGCGAAGTCCTTCAGGTGCGAGTAACAGTGTTGCTCAAGTAGACGATTCAGAAGAAGAAGAAGACAAAAAGGAGCACCGCGAAGGAGACAAGCGCGACTGGTGGATCCTTGAAGTCCTTGCCCTGCGCCCAGCCTTTCCCGAAACACTCCTGGCGGCTGCTGGGCAGGATGAGTCAGCATCGAATCGGGTGGAATGTGCGTCGGATCAGGCTGCATCGGCACGGAACCGAAATCACATCGGATCGGCCACGTCAGGATGCATAACAGCGCCCTGAAAACATCTAGCTGCATCGGAACATCGGAACCAAATCAGATCGGGCCGGCTAGAACATTTGGAGCAGACAAACATGCAGTCGGCGCGTTGCCAAAGGAAACCAGAAATTAAGGAACGATTGGGCTTTTGTGCCACATAGGAGCTTGAGCAGAGCAAAGCCCCCAACGTAGATCAATACGGCTCAGACGTGGAAGCCCGCGCAGAGCCAGAGTGTCCTTCTTTCAATGCGTTGTCTGATTATTCCGAGGGCAGAAAATCGGGCCCCATGCTCAACACCCCGACAAGCGAAGCAGTTTAGTAAACGCACCCACAGAAGGAATCGAAAAGGTCAGGGCTGTTTAGTAAACGCCCAGGGACGTTCAGTAAACGCCAATTGTCGGGGTCTGGGTGTCTTTTCCTCCCTTGAAGTAATCTAGGTCGCACGAATCAGCAAGCCACACCCACTCCTACCCTCTCACCCAGAACATAAGAACCAAAGATTCGGCGGCTCGCCCGGGGGGGAAAGTGAAAAGGAGCGGGCATTCTCACAAGGCTCGGAAGTCCCTGGGCCTTCTGAGAAGTTGTCTAAACCTTCCCCGAAAACGCAGAGAATCGTTCAAAGACGCGAGAGTTTCTGAGAAGTGCCGCCGCCTTCTGAAAAAGACTTGTCCTTTTCACTTTTCCCCCTCGCTTGTTGCCGAAGGATGGCGCAAAGTGACGTTGGGACCGGAGCGCAGTCCCGCCTGCCGAACGGAAGGCGCTCTCACGCGGCCCCGACTTCGAAGACATGACAAACAAACACATATATCAGGAACCATCGCGCGCGTTTCGTGCGTCCTCAATATCTAGCGAATCTTGATGGTCGAATTCTTAGGGATCTCTATTCCATGACACTTCTTGTCCGGGGCTTCCAAGAACCACGAAAACGGCCGAAGCGGTTTCCAAGACTTCCCCCGGTCCACCCACGACGTCTTGAGTAAGACAAGCTCAAAACGCACTTCGGGGGCCTTTTTATTCGCCGGTGCTGGACGTAGCTGGAGGAAGATGGAGGAAAAAGCGAGGTGAAGAGTTTCTCTGGGGGAGAAGGACAAGGAGGATGAGGAGGAGTTGGAGAGGGTGTAAAATGCCGCAGAGGAGGAGGAGGAGGAGGAGGAGGAGGAGGAGGAGAAGGAGGAGGAACCGGAGGACGAGAAAGAGGAGGGAATAAAAGAGTTCCCTTTTGACAAGCTTAGCGAACCTGCCAGGCGAACTTTGAAAACAAATGTTGGACATCCCGTTTTTCTCAAGTGCCCCCGGGCCTTGTCTCGGGACGCTTTTGCACCTTTTTCGGGGCTTCTTGGGGACCTCTTGAAGCCTCTTGGGGGTCTCCTGGGGCGAAGTTTTCGGGTTCTCGGCTCACGTCCCCGATCCTGGGCGGCGGTCGGGGCCCTCCCGGGCCGCCTTGGACGTCTCTTCGGCGCGCTTGAAACCTATTGGGCCGTTGTTGGGCCCTTTTGAAGCCTACTGGGCTGTCTTAAGGCGATCCTCGGAGCCCAAAGGAGCGTTCTGCAGCGTCGGGAACCGGAACAGGCGGAAACGCCAAAAGTGTTGAAACACCTGTGGAACATAACCGGAAGCGGGCAATACTAACCCCCTTCTGGGGTAATAAAATTCGCGGTTCCCGCGGGGATGATAAAGGATTTTCCCGGGGAAAGTAAGTTTTGATGACGATGATGATGATGTTGATGGTGATGGCGACGATAATGGAGGAGGAGGAGGAGGAGGAACCCCACCCGTGGAGGGCGCACTCCTGAGCTCCACCTACCTGAGCAGGCGCTGGAGGCTGGGCTCCCGCCGAAATGCGAAGCGGAGCCTCCCTGTGATAGTCTGGCGTGCGAATGAGGGGGGACGAGAGGGAGGGAACGCAGAGACTGGAAGGCGGAGTGTAAGGCATCCACTGCAATCAGGCGGCTAGCAAGAGCATCCGGACCCCAAAGCTGGAAACGGTGAGGAAGGAAGGCGCTCAGAGGTTCTTCTCCCCAGGATGATGGAAGTGCAGGAGGGAGTCGCCGAAGGTGCGGGGAGGAAGTTGGACATGAGGCATAATGGAAAATGTCGTCCCCGCCCATGCAACTGCAACCGTACATACAGCGCCCAGGTCCCTGGCGATACCTTCGGGTTGTATTCCACGAGTTGAATATTGTTTTTATCAGACCAACGAAGACAAATCCAGGAACAGCTTGACTGGACAACGCTATCCTCGAGAGACACACCTCCATTTCAGCATCCGAAAGGTCAGGAACCCTGAGATCTGGCAAACCCCCAGACACTATCCTCGAGACACGTTTATCCATCTCAGCATCCAAAGGCCTCCCGAGACAAGATCTGGCAAATCTTGGCCTGAATCCTCCTGGGATGCACTTCAGGCGGGGGCCTCGTGATGCAGCTGGCGGATCTGCGCTCTTCCCGCACACTGGCAAAAATAAACTGGCGGAGCAACTCGGAGTGGGGATGGGTGAGGAGGTGGCCTGTTCCGTCGAGGGTGTCATCCAACTTCAGGCAGAGGGAGTGGAAGAGGTCGGAGTTGTGGGCGACTCGGAGGCGAGCGGCACGGCTCTGCAACTCGAGCGAGGTGGTCTGGACACTGAGACCGATTTCTTTGAACCGAACGAAGACCTCGGGCGGGCATGAATGGCGCGGACTGCATGTGTATAACTGATTCGCCTCCCGCTCCGCTCGAAGCGCATGCTTGGTGGGACGGTGCCCTTGTCCAGTGTAAGAACCGACAGGAAACGCATTCCGATCGCGCGCAACAATATTCGTGATAAGTCCCTCTCCCATGCCTTTGACCATGTGAACCCGCTTCAGTATCTTATGCCCAATGCCTTTCCAAGATAATTCCCCCCCCCCCCCCCCCTTCTTCCCAATGATGATTCCAAGGTGCTTGCCATGGGTTGCACTTTAGACTTGGCAACAGTGATGTCTCTGCGCTTACATCGATCAATAGCACAATTGAAGGATTCTGGTCTTGAAATACTGATAACGCGCTTGGCTGTGTTGAGGATCAAGCCACTGGCGTACCCACAGGAGCAAATGGCTTTGGTCACGGGACCCAGGGTGCTGAACATGTCGGCGGCGATCAACCCAAAGTCGCCGGCGAAGGCGGAGATCTGTTCGGGAAGCGCAGCGGGCAGGACCCCGGGAAAGTGGAGCAAGGGTCCAGGGCGAGGGCGAAGAGTACACCTGAGAGTGGGCAACCTTGGTTTCCACCTCTGAGGGCCTTGAAGGAAACTTCGCGGGAGCCTTTGAACGAGCTAATGCATTCATGTTGCGATAGAGGAGCATGGTGGCGGTGATGATGAACTCGGGAAAGTGGAACGCTCTCATTGCTGCCCACATCCATTCGTGAAGGACTGAAGGGGGTGCAGCACGGAAATCACACAGGCATGCCCCGCACTCCTGGCGCCCAGGAGCGGCGCCCCAGTGCATAATATTAAAGTCGGCTTCCAGCACGTTATCCATGATACTTTTTTTTGATTAATCCTCTCTTGGCCGAGTGACCACGATCGGCGGTCATATTCGAGATGGGGGCGGCGATCAAACTGGAGACGATGTTGTTATCAGTGTTGGAGAGGGCGATGGGTCTGGTGTCCTCGACGACTTTGACGACGTGCTGGGGATCAGGAGTATCGCCTTTCGCTAGCAGAGCGAGCTTGGAGAAATTGATGTCCCCGTGCGGGGACCCCCCCATCAAGATATGTTCGAATCCCACCAGCCCTTTGGGCGTGAGTGGTTTAGAGAGCCCGCTCTGTTCTCAACCCTCCTTCTTCCCCTTCGGGGAGGGGTTTACCCCTCCCGCTACCCCCTCCCCCTGGGCCTGGAGAGGGCGTTCCGCGGGTCGTTGGAGGGGTCTTTTTCGACTCCTCGGAGGGCTAAAAAACGACACCCCTCACGAGGATTCTGGCCCCGACGGGGGGGGGGAGAAAAAAAAAACATATTTGATCGATCGCCCGAAAATAGGCCCCAAGATACCTCCCAGACTCACCCCAAAGAGCCCCAAGAGGCCCCAAGAGGCCTCCAAGAGGCCCCCAAGATGCCCCCCAAGAGGCCCCCAAGAGGCCCCAAGAGGCTCCCCCGAGGCACCCAAGACGTTCCCGGAAGCCCCTGGGGCCGCCAATAGGCCCCCAAGACGCCCCAAACGGCCTCCAAGAGGCCCCCAAGAGGCCCGAAGAGGCTCCCCCAAGGCACCCAAGACGCTCCTAGAAGCCCTGGAGCCGCCAAGAGGCCCCCAAGACGCCCCAAAAGGCCTCCAAGAGGCTCCCAAAAAACACCACGAGGAGCCCGAACGACTCACACCAGGACGAAGAGCCCGAACGACTCACACCACGAGGAACCCGAACGACTCACACCAGAAGGAGGGGCCCGAACGACTCACACCAGGACGAGGCGCCCGAACGACTCACACCACGAGGAGCCCGAACGACTCACACCACGACGAGGGCCCCGAACGACTCACACCACGAGGAGCCCGAACGAGTCACACCAGGAGGAGGGGCCCGAACGACTCACACCAGGACGAGGGGCCCGAACAACTCACACCACGAGAAGCCCGAACGACTCACACCAGGACGAAGAGCCCGAACGACTCACACCACGAAGAGCCCGAACGACTCACACCAGGAAAAAGGGCCCGAACGACTCACACCAGGACGAGAAACCCCAAACGACTCAAACCACGAGGGGCGTTTTCTCTCCCTCCTCCTCCGCCTCGTCCTTCTCCCGCTCCCACCACAAGGAGGATGTACACGGAGGCGGGGGGAAGGAGGAACAGGGGAGATATGCGGGGGCAGGCGGAAACACGCCTGAAAAACACGACTGCCGGCATGCTTCGCAAGAGTTGCTGTTTTGAGATGGGCT